AGTCTGATTAAAGATTGATTTTTTATTGATTGATTAGTTCTTTCTAGCCTCGTTTCTGATGCTTCTCTGTTTCTGTTTAATCTTTTTTAAGTTCTCCATTAATCTGTATAAGGTTTATGCTATGAATTCACGATTATTTACAGTAGAGTGATGGCTGTCGGCCGTCGGCGATCGAGACAAGCTAAAAAGGTTTCCGATTATCGGAATATGCCTCTAGTTGGTTAGAAAACCGGCGAGCCGAGGATTTTTCCTGGAATCTAGGGGGAATAAACCTTTTAGTTTGTTTAATATCAAGTTGTCCATATTAAACATAGAATTCCAGCTGTCCGACCGGATTATTTTTAAAAAACCATCTTGAATTTTAACATTAACTTATAGTGATTGTTGATGGATACTGAAACTTAGATGCTCTTTTTTTTTTTTAAAAAAAAAAAAAATTAATTGCTTGTTTTGAATGTAAAGTATATCTATTGGCGTTAATAGTTTTAGTTGATGAATTCATCTAATTTACTCCAATATCCTTTCTCCTTCAGGTTTTCCAAATCCCCTGTTCTCCACCCAATTGAATGGGTTCCATTACAGAACCATCCCCGGTGCCAAACCACGGAAAGCCCCTTGGAATCCAGCTGGTAGAACACGTAAAAAAGTCGAAAATTTCGTACAAGACTCACCAAGCCATAGTCCTAATCGTGACCTTTTTCGCCTACTTAACCTACCACGCCACCCGTAAAACCACAAGTGTCGTCAAGAGCGCGCTCGACCCACAATCACCGGATGTCGAGCTAAAATCACCCTTCTCGTGGACGAGGGCCTACTCGCACAACCCGCTCGAGACTGCAAAGCTCAGCAACTCGTGGGTTCTTGGATCCGGGTGGGCCCCGTTCAACGGGCCCGAAGGTACCACTCTGCTAGGGGTGCTCGATGTGGCCTTCCTCTTCGTGTATGCCATGGGAATGTACTTCTCGGGCCACGTAGGAGATAGAATGGACCTTAGGATATTTCTCACCATAGGAATGGTCGGAACTGGTTTGTTCACTTCCCTATTTGGGGTTGGGTATTGGGGGAACATTCATTTGTTTTACTATTATTTACTAGTCCAAATGCTGGCCGGTTTGTTCCAGTCGACCGGGTGGCCATCGGTTGTGGCTGTTGTCGGTAACTGGTTCGGGAAGAAAAAGAGAGGGCTCATTATGGGGATTTGGAACGCGCACACGTCCCTAGGCAACATAACTGGCTCCGTTGTTGCTTCGGTTTTGTTGAAGTACGGTTGGGGTTGGTCCATGGTGGTACCCGGCCTGGGTATTGCCTTTGTGGGGTTATTGCTCTTCTGTTTCTTGCCGGTTAGTCCTGAGTCTGTTGGGGTCAGCTTAGACGAGGAAGATGATTCGCCGCTGATGTCACCCAAGAAGGAAGGTGAAGAGATAACCGAGCCTCTTTTGAGGTCGAAATCTGACGATAGGGACGCCGTTGGGTTTTTGGAGGCATGGAGGATTCCCGGGGTTGCCCCGTTTTCGCTGTGCCTTTTCTTCTCGAAATTGGTGGCGTACACTTTCCTTTACTGGCTCCCGTTCTACATTAGCCACACTGGTATACATAATATTTTCAAGTTACTCGATTAAGTTAAGTTTCCAGTTAAATTATTAGCTGATTGTTTTGTTTTTTTTTCCATTCTTGATCCGGCAGCTATTGAAGGAAGATACTTGTCCAACGAGGAGGCTGGGAACCTATCAACGATGTTCGACGTGGGAGGGGTAATTGGGGGAATTCTCGCGGGCCACATTTCGGACAGGCTAGACGCTAGAGCCATAACGGCCGCCAGTTTCATGTACTGTGCAATACCGGCACTCTTCTTCTACAGAAGCTACGGACACGTGTCCATGGCCCTGAACGTGGTACTTATGCTAGTGACGGGTATGTTTGTGAACGGGCCTTACGCGCTCATCACCACCGCGGTCTCGGCTGACCTCGGGACCCACAGTAGCCTCAAGGGGAACTCGCGGGCCCTGGCCACGGTCACGGCTATCATAGATGGAACGGGCTCGATTGGGGCAGCTGTGGGCCCGCTGCTGACAGGCTACATCTCGGCCCAGAGCTGGAGCGCCGTGTTCACGATGCTGATGGGGGCAGCCCTGGTGGCGGGGCTGCTGCTGACGAGGCTGGTCGTGGCTGAGGTCGGTGCCAAGATTCAGGGGGCGAGGAATCCGGAAGGTTCTCGGCCGAGGTGCCCCGTGTTGGATGTATGATCAAGAGGAAAATGTTTTTATATAAAGTTGATGATGTACATTCTTTGTAACGTATGTGCATATAATGGGGATTTTAGAATCCATTATGGCTTCTTGCCAAAGAGAAAGCCAGGGATGGATGGGGTTTTGCTTGCTTTGTCCAAGGGAGCCTGCAGATTGTAATTTTGTTCTTTTTCTGGCAAGAGGAATGGGAGAGAATTTGGAAGGGAAAAAGGGAGTTAAATGTCAGTGCAGTTTGATGTCGTTTTTGTTAGAGTAATGAATTGGGATAAGATGGTATTATTTAGTAGATATGATATAGTTCTCCTAAAGTCTTTATTTATTTATTTATTCTTTTTTTTTTTTTTTTTTTTTTTTTTTTTTTGTGATTGGGATTGAGAAAGATATGCTTCATTTGAATACAGATTTATTAAAAGCCCCTGCAAAAATATTCAATCTTATGCCCACATGAAAACACGTTTAATGTGATAGAAACTACAATTAAAGTTGCTCATCAAATTCTACGTTCCAATGCGTGTTGTCAACATTAACATTATTAGTTATTACAGACGAATAGGGTTTAGCGCAGTGGCGCATACTTCGCTCGGCGTATACCATATCCCAAGTTCGAGTCACTAGGAAGAGAATTGGGGAACCAGTATTAATCCTCCTGTAAAAAAAAAATAATAATAATAAAAAAAATTAACATTATTTTACGCCGTGTTGGCGTGGTCTCTACTCCTAATCGCTAATATAACCATTAGACGGGTCTACAAATATAAATATGTAATTAATTATACTATTAAATGTTGTATTTATGTTTACATTATGTTTTAGAGTGCAATATTTTCTCAAGAAAGATTACAATATTGAGGGAGATATGTGTTAAATAATAAAATTTGTATGAATCATAAAATTCTTATTCTAAAAAAATATCACACAATATTTTGTAACGACATTGTGTAGAAAAAAAAAAAAAAAAAAAAAAAAAACAAAGCCACTAAACTATTCCTTTAAATAGGGTGTAAACGAATCAAGTCGAATTCAAACTTTTAATAATAGAGCTATAGCTCGAGCTGAGTTGTGCTTTAACGAGTCAATAAACAAGTTGTATGTAGCTCGGCTCAGTATCAATATTCATGAGTTGGACTTGACGAGTAGAGAATTTAAGTATTAACAAGTCAAATTATTTAAAATTACATAAAATTCACAATTTCTAACCGAAACGAGCCAATTCGAGCTCACGAGCAGCTCATTTCATTCAACAATCAGGGTTAATATCGTTATTTGTCCTTGGTAACGAGCCCAAATTTGTTAAGAACACACACACCGCAAACATGTCAATGTTCCCTATATCCTTTAACATTATAAGGTTAGTCAATGCATGCATGTCCAAGAACTCCTCACAAAGAAAGATAGAAAAATCTAATTCCAAACCTGGCCAATCTTCTTGGCGCCATTCTTGATATATGGCTGTGTCTTTCTGTAAATATCCGCAAGTGATCTGTACCGTTTGTTTCTCCTGGGCAAAATTTCCCCGGCGGTGTTGATTTCCAGCTCGATTAAGCTCAATGATTCCTCCGATTTTTTGCCTCGCAATTCGCATTTTTCCATCGGAAAATCAACACACTGGACAGTGAAGTCGCCGGTGTAGCTGCCCCTGAGTTGGATCAGCTCAAAAACTACACCCATTTCTAGCTCCGTCAGACCCGATTTCCTGTTCATCATGGCCTTTTAATTTTTGTTTTTCAAAAGTTTATATGTTATTATTTTCTTCAATTACTTCAAACTGATGTTCACATTTTATGTTAGTATATGATATCAATTTCTCATATATTTGGATTTAAAAAAAAAAAATAAAATCGCTCACCAATTTAGCATGGTTAACTTACCCCTACACCATTTTAATGTAGTGAAAATAATGTGATCATTTCACATGCCTTCACATGCCTTATATTAATAAATTAATCAACTTGGCATGGAATCCTACACGTACGTGAAGATGAATTGTTGCCAATGCATGTGAAATTATAGAGATCCATACGCAACTTGGCTATCTGTTTCAGTTCAATTGTAATTTTCTATTTTTAGATTATTTGTAAAAACTGAAAATTACATATCAGTTCGTAGGATTCCCGTGTAATTCCATATCCAACATTTAACTCATCATTAATTTTTTCACAAGCTGTCGAGCTAATTGTTATGCACGATTAATTTGCCCAATAAAATCCAACACCAAGTTTGCCAAATACTTATCTTTTTAGGTTTACTTTCGAGTTTTTTTTTTTTTTTTTTCGGTACAATTCGAGATTCTTTTTTAACTACATATGATGTGTGCAAATTGCCATTTAAAGTGACACTTGGGCTTCAAGTATTGCGTTACTACATAAAGAGGCCTATGTTGAGCGAATGGCAAAACTATACATGACACTTGGGCTTCAAGAATTGGGCTACTACATAAAGAGGCCCGTATTGACCGAATGACAAAACAATGTAGACATAACCATGGGACGAACCGCCTGGAACAGACCTGTGCTCAACTGGACTTGAACCGAGCCCGTGGTTTGACTTGAGTCACCGGGCAGGTTACGAATTGGACCAACGGTTTTGCTCTTTTTCTTTTCTTTTCTTTTTTTCAAATTTTTAGTGAAACGGACTGGCCCATAACTAGCGTTTCACTTAACTGGACCGGAACTGTGGGTTTACCGAATCGGCCCCTACATATGTTCGGGCCGCTTTAGGGCCGTCCAACCCATTGCTCGGAACCGACGTTTATAATCTAAAATCAGACTCGAACCAGTTTGGTCACGTCTAGTTATATATAATGAGGCCCATTGGGGGTGGAAGGACCTAAGATGAACTGAACTGAGCTAAGCTAGTGATGGTCAAACTTAGAACTTAGAAGATTTCAATAACTTTTACAAATATATGTATTATGTGAAGTGCAGTTGGGTCCAAGAGATTCAATTTATTTATGACTGGTGTTGAAGGCCTCTCACAGTAAAAGTGGACCGAAATCTAACATGCACAACCTTAGAGAACAAGAGTTGGGCCAACCTAGCTCCATCACTACAAAGAAAATGATAGAATTTCAACTGTAATGCATTTTAACGGAGTTCTAGTGGCAATTCTAGTGAATATTCCAATACTATTTGATGTGTTGGAGACCTGGATCTAGGTTGAAACGACAATGAAAGTTTTTTAATCATCTCTAAATTATTGATTAGATGCAAAACAGAGGGCAAAGAGTGGTTACCAGCGTGAGCACCCTGACGCTCAAATCAGTAAAGAGAAGAAGAAAATGAACTGTATGGACTGTGTGCAGATATATGCATATTAGAGTGTGTAGAGAGTTTGTAGTTGTATCTCATCTCTCTTTTATAGGGAAATAACTCGGTGCCCAAGATTAGTTGCCCAGATGATCGCGGTGAATCAGCTCGGAGCTGCCCGAGCCTTGATTCTTATTTTCTTAGTCTTCATCCTCATCTCATCCTTATCACCATTAGATTTCTTCTTATCTTTATTAGATTCCTTATTATCTCAATTAGGTCTCCATTAACTCAGGTTCCCAAGGGCCCACGAGTCTCTCATTCTTAGGTCTCCGTTCCAAGTGAAAGTAGGTCGCATATTCCCAAGTCTTCAAAATGAGTGCTTGTGTATTATGTAGTTCAGGTTGTCTTACTGTCGTAAATGTCAAATGCTCCAAGTAGGTCGTCCGCTATGCTTTAGTCGACACATTCCAACTTCTTTTATTTATTCACATGTTCTCTATTAGTCGATCTAACCAATTTCTCCATAAGTCGACCTGGTTTACTTAATACCTATTTAGTTTAATCGAGCTATGGATATATCATCTAGTCGCCCCCCGAACTTACTCCATGAGATCTCGAGCTATGGTGCCAAGTTTCATGAGGACCTGTCATCTAATATCACCTCAACCAAATTCATTTTTGTTCGTCTTCCTCCTAGTTTTTATTATTTCACCAATTATTGGCTCGTCTTGCTCAAAAGAAGAAGCCTCAGTTTAATCCTCGACTTGCTAGTATCGTAACTAGCTGGAATGGCACTCCTTAGAGTGCTCGCAAGATAGTTGGGACCCCACACTGAGATACTAGTGTGGGTTGTCCAACGAAATCGATGCACCTTTCGTACATGATTTAAGTAAGTCTTCGCTATACATAAATATTCATCATTATTATTTCTCTATTTGTTTAGGTCGTTTTACCCTTCTATTATTATTGTTCGAGAATCGTATTTCAAGAGAGTCCAGGTCCCCACAAAGTCCTTCATCCAAGGGGCTAGTACCGTCAAGGTCAACGGCTCCTGGCAGGGGGCCTTTGATTTGATGTCTCCACGACTTGGGACCCTCTGGTCCCCAAGCCCAACCCATGGTCTAGCTCGCTCCCGGGGCTTCCTCGAGCTCCAAGAAGTGTCCCTTGAGTCATCTAAATGAGAAGGGGTCAGCCAACTACATGGAGTATGACATCAATAATCATCAGGACAATTAATGACAATTAACGAAATATTATGCATCTAAATTCGTGTGCTCGTTACCACTTACTATAGTCATTCTTTCCTTACCCTAGTGTCTCCTTTCAGTACCTCATTGACCAGGCCCTCATCGTAACTTTCGAAGAGGAAGACATGGTGGATTTTTGCAAAGAAAAATATTTATTGAGAAAGACCAACACTAAAAATGAGAGGTGTAAACGGAGGATGGAATTGTCGAGCAGGTTGTTTGTCCGCCTATTTCCTCTGAAACTTACAATGAGATCCACAACGTGCCCGCTATAAAAAATTCATCGTACCACATAATCCGTAAACCAATCAGGAACGACATAAAGGGGATTGACATGATTTGATAAGAATCGTATGAGAGCAACCTTTTCGTCGGCTTAAAGATCAGACGGCGTGTGAGTGTGATACAGTTGTACCGTCATACATGAAGATAAGACATTGACAAGATAACTTACATGTTACAATGCCGAAGCAAGTTCAACATGCTGAACCAATAACCCAGTGAATTAAATGCTACTTCTCTACACTAGTGATTATTGACAAGACGTTTAATCACCCGGTTGTATCGCAATTACTTAGTAATTAATGGTATTGTAATATGTAAATTTTTACTACATAAGGTTGCAGTACATGTTTGTATTACACTATAAATAGCAAGAGAATTTTACTGAAAAGAGGATAGTAAAAAAAATCAGACGAATACTGCCTCCAAGTGAAAATAAAGAAAAAGACCGAACGGCATTTTTGTTCGGCATTTATAAATCGCCTATTTTTCAATCCTTTCGTATAATCAGTAATATGCGTCGATTATCGTATGGTGTTCATGGTAAAAAAAAAAATGAATTTACACAATAATAGTCTAATCAATCGAAAGAAATCTTATAAACTACATAGATTCGAAAATCTTGTGAAGCAACCTCGATTTAGTGTGGCCAGCAAGGTGGTTTTTCAAGTAAAGCATTCAACAGCAATCACGTATGTTACTCGACCAGACACCATGAATAGCATGCATTATATATAGGCAAATAAATGTGAACTGGACGTACATGACCTAATTGGGCACCAAACAGTCTTTCGGCCCACAAAAGAAGACCTGTCAGGGCCCAGTTAAACTATTAGACAATGTTAACGATGGAAAAAGTGGGCCGACGGGTCACCTGAATATCATTAAAAACCCAATCACACGTCTTTTCAATCGTGTTATCTGGCCACACACTACAGGTTCTTTTATCTCTTGCTGTCTTGCATCATGAAATTTTGGTTCTATTATTTATTTATTTTTATTTATTACGTAGTTTACAATTTTGCAATAACAATTATAGTGTAGCATCATTGAACCAATTTCAAACTTGATTCTGTAAAAATAACTGTGACATGAATCATGCAATGTGTATAGCACTGTAAATATCACATGGTACTCGTTTATTCCCTAAATTTTGCATCTTTTGAAAAAGTCAAACTTGCATCTATTCTAACTCTGGAGAAGGCTATCATCCCGTCAGGAATCATTCCGTGAGAGTTTTTGGCCTTTAAATATACATAAAAGTTAGTTATTGTAGGTAATCAATGGGTAAAAACTCTAACGGAATGATTCCATGACGAGATGATAGCTTTTTCCTCTAACGTTTTATGATTATAGTTTAAAATATTGAATGATTGAAGTATTTTCATGTTCAAAGTTTTCCTGGATCAAAATATTTTCTAATGCGATAATTGATCAAATATCTCACAATCATCAAATAGGTTTTTGCTTAAGAATTTATGTAGAATTGTGACTGATTCTATCCGTACTTTTTTCAATAGATGGAATTATCGGCTGGAAAATTCAACGGAAATTGAATATTCGAGCGAAAGTTCCTACAATAATATATTGCTAAAAAATTTTGTCGAAATCATCGAACTTCATCTAAGTTTAGCTTCAACGAAATATTTTAGTGTTGACTTCCGTTGGATTATCCATGGATTTTTTCCAACGAAAGTTACTACACTGGAATATTGTATTATTAGGAACTTTTGTGAGAATATTCTTGTTAGATTTTCAGTCAGGGGGCTCCAACCCGGTATTAGTTTTTAGATAATACTAAATTTGTACTAGTGAACTATATTTCAGTTCATGTTATATTCAATTAGCCTTATGTTAATCTTATTTTAGCATAAAATAAAATAAACTTTAAGATTAAACCAATGAATTATATACTTAAACATAGTTTAAATCTCTTTCCACTTTTAGTTTTTAGCTTGCTATATATGCCTTTTTTCGTAGTTATTTTTTGTTATTTAATTAAATTGATTCTACTGTTCATTTGTATAATTTTATCAAGACAATATTTGATTGTGATAAATTTTCATAAGAATATTTAGCATGTAACCAGATTTATGAATTTCACAGTTTATTTTAAATTTTCATTGATTTTTAAATAAATGATATATGAGTATATACATATACACTAACAGAACAATTAATAATATTATTTTCATTTTCGGTCAAAAGACGTTACAAAATTTTATCACTAATATTCACTTTATTCTACTTTTATCTACTTGTTACAATCTATATTAATCAACTATTATATATAATATAATCAGTTTTGCTATGCCATCGGATGGCTCCGCTTATGGAGCAATCCATACTTAATCACCAATAGTGCATTGACACGTGTCCTACAATAAATACAATTTAGACATGTGTCACTATATTAAATGATGGATGGCTCCATAAGAAAACAATCCGATGGCTCCATAAAATTTTTATAATATAATTTCTAATCTTCTTACATAATTTTAGTCATTTGTGTTTTTGTCACCCACTTAACTTATATTTTATTTTATTTTTAATTCTTGATTTGAAATCATATATTAGCAAATTTAATCCAACATATTTAATTTAATAAATAAATGATTTTTTATTTTCGATTTTTTTTATGTTATGAAAAGGCGTAAAAAAATTATACATATACTACAAAGTAAATATAAAATCAATTAAATGCCAAATAACAAAAAATCTCAGTTATCTATTCCAATGGATAATGTGAACATGGATCATAACAAAAACATATATAATTATTCATTACATAATATATTAAATACACGAAAAAAAAA